TGAGACGGGAAGGGCAAATATACAGCAGGACAAACTGCGCAGGAAGGTTTCGAACTCCTCATTTTCTACACTAATTCAAAGTCTGAGACAAAAAGACCACTAAAAATACTCCACGTAAGAACTAGATTTGCAGTAGGCCTCTTCCTAAAAAAAGAAAATGCGTGAATTCACAATAGCTGTGACCATGTGTTCATGCATTAATGCCACTGTCTGACCAAACAATCAACTGACTGACTGACCATTAAAGTGAGCAATAGAGCTGCTGGTGGCAACTGAAAAAATAAAAAAGCATATCAACTCCTACAGCTTCAATGAAGAACCCATACGCAATTAGACTTTTTCAAAACACTTTGCATATTTACATACACTACTCTTTTCAAAACTGTTACATTTACATTCAACATAACTAAAAGGAAATTGCACTCCTACTTGGGACACTGAATGCCTATTTTCATTTCTTGATAGATTTAAAGAAAGACCTGTAAGTGAGGAAAGGAACAAGGTGGAATCCAGAGTCCGATGTGGTATTTCACTCTTCTCTTTCAGTCACAGACTGGTTTACAGTCTATCTCAGGATAGTGTCACTTTTCCTTCCCCTTTACTCTCCAATCCTCAACTGCACAGAGGAATTCTTCTCCTCGTGGAGGCGGAAAGTTTATGACCACCAGCCGCATGATCCGATGTCTCCGTTGGACACAATGAATGCTGGATGTGTGAACCTGTCTGCAGAAGATTGCCATTGACAGATCAGACATCAAAAAGATTCTTTCCCAGGTGGATTTCAAGAGAAGACCAAAGGTGTCAAATTCGAAGACAGAGTTAACTGTGTAATTCTATATCTGTAGCTATTCTTTACAAGTATGTATAGTTAATATATGTGTGGTTTTGTATTGCATCACTGGAATTACACGTCCATAATAATACCTCTACAATTCTATAACCATGTTTTGTAACTATCAATGAATGATCCATTTTCATGCTCTGCTTTTTCTTGTTTTGTCTTTTGTTTTTCATCACATTTACTTTAGCAATCTGTATGTTTTTATTAAATCTTTTGTTTTTCCCACTGTTTCATTTTGTGCACTTGGAATTACTTAATGGAATCTTGGTTGATAGATAAATAAATAAAGAATAAAGAATAGAATGGTCAGTATAAAACGACTGACATAGTGTTGGGAAACAAATGTTGTATTCTGGCCCGAGAATTGATCCTGAGTTGTGTATCAGGTGTACAAGTGAACTCTGTAGAGAAATGAGACTTAAGCTGCCCTCCTTCCCATGGAGCTCTCTCACAGAGCTCTGTGACATGCCTAAGCTGCTAACTATCATTCTCAGCACATGGGTGAGATAATGACTTACACTGATAGGAAATAACAACTAAAACTACTGCACATACTGTCTTCTTTTATGTCAAAGTAAATACAGGATACAGTCCGTTGATATTCAGGGTCGGATCTAAAAGGGTGGAATAAAAAATACCTGGTCCAACACTTCCTACTAATAACTAGTTCATGTTTTTGGAGAAGTGAAAGTAGAATCTAAGGTTATGGTGCTTTCCATTTGGCTCGTAAATCCCCCGCCCGAGATGCTCTGACACGCGAATGTGACGTACCTGCCTGGCTTGTCCCACTTTAGCATTGCATTTGTCTTTGGGCGTTACGAGTCGACAGAACATGGATGCCACCAGGCAGCACTGGTTTGTATTTGCTTGTGGCTACATCTAAACAGAGTCTCAATGTAAATATTTAATGTTTTTCTAGCAGAAACACTAACATTTCAGTAGTATGGGCCGTTATTGCAATCGTGTTCGCTGCTCGTTCAACTCGGTTTACCTGAGGAACCCCCGGAGGACCGTGGGACGGCTAGAATCCGACCAAAAGGGGGTGTCGTCTCGGTGGAAATGTCACGAGATAGCTGCGAGATTTACGATCTTCCAACTCGTCGGTCGGTTTTCCAGAGACAAATGGAAAGCACCAATTTATTCAACCAAATCAAAGCAACGTGTTAAAGGGGAAACTTCGCAGATTATTACCCTTAGTCTGAACACTAGGGTCACCGAGTACTCGTCGATAGGAAAAGATACGACCAGAATTGTTCTAGCAAACTTGAGATCCTGCAGCTAATGGCCATTGCAGCTCCCAGTTAGCTATAATACACTTCTTGGGCATTATCCTAAAGAATGCCTTTTGCTCCTCTTAACAGACACAAAATGCCAATTAAAAATCTCTTT